AGACCACGTGAAACTGATGTTTATGCTGCAATTTAGTTTCAGTAAAATTCCATATAGCTTTCCCTCACTTTTTGGAAATACTTTTCTGCATTTATATATATGCCTATTAAAGCAAGGAGCTTTTATGTTTATCTTCACAGCTCATAGGTGATAGACTAATTCAGAAAAACTGAAATAAGTTAGTTTTGACTCTCTGAATTTAATCAAATCCATCAAATGGAACACATTTATTTATAAAGTCAATATTTGTACTTGTAGCCTGAAGTATTACTAAACGTCAAAATACTAGTAAACGTTTATTACTCATCTGTTATCTTTCAAAACTTGGACTGTACAGATGCAGTAAGTACTTCACCTGTCCTACTTGGTTCACTTTCCTCAATCAGAGATATAAGCAATTGTTTTCACAGTTCATGAATTCAATGCAGATGCCAAACTACATCCTTAAAATTCATCATTTATCTCTCTGTAACTTCCAAGACAGATAGTCCAAACCTGATGTCTAGGTGGTGTTTGGAAAGGGATTTTGAGGTTCTTACTCTTCCTGGGTTTGTTGCACAACCAACGTTCAGCTGATATCAAAATAAGGTATATTACACCCTGATCTAGTGCGATATCTGAATTTATATTGAGCTTGCCTAACTTTACAGGGAAGACATAAACAACAGTTAGCCAGAGCTATGCAGCAGCACAAGTGCTTCAAAGGCACTGGCAGTGAATTAAAACCCTCCTCAACCCTGTGGACTGTCAGAGTTTTATATACAGTGTTTTTTTCATCAGCAGTCACTTTATGGAAAATGGTCCTTTTCTAAGACCGTGTCACTTGACAGAAGAAAGTAGCTGTGCTGCAGATGCAAGTATAAAAATAAAACTGCAGCCACTGAAATACAGATACCTGGTATGCGATACGAGCGTACGATCTCAGTTGAATTAAAGAGCGATGACGTCAACCTAATCAAAACCTCTTGAGTGAGCCAGAGCTTTCCAACTGATTAAGACTCCTGCACTATTCTTTATAGCAATATTCTAGTTTAAGAAGCTGTTCTTACTCTTCACAGGTGCTAAAAATACCAACAAATGCTTTATTTGCAGTTCTTTCTGCTTTCTCCTACGCATTACAACCAATGAAATAGGTATTACTGCAGCAGGGATTTTACAGCTACCCATTTTGGGGGAACTTTAGAGCACAGGTAGAAACTGGGAAGGCTCTTGGCTTTCCCTGTGCAGCAGGAGATGCTCAAAGAGCGTGAAAATTCCAATCAAGCAAGTAATCCTTGCTTCTTCCCCCAAACTCTTTCTCACCCTTAAAGCGGAATAAAAGGAAGTACTACCAGAAGTAATTTTCTAAGTGTTCTATATCAAAAATCAGACACATTGAGTATCATCAGAGAGGAAGATTTAGTTGGTTCTTGAAGAAAAGTACGTGCTGAAGAGCTACAGACTGAGGACTTTCGTTGCCGTTTATACCAAGGTGTTATTTATGTCTTAAAACAACTCTGGGTAAAGTGTTGTTTTTTCTTCATTGCTCTTAGCTGTCCAGTGCAAATCTCTGTAAAAATTTGGGCCACACTATAAGTTAACAATGAAACATTTTGATGCGGCCTAAACACTTCATAGTTCATTTTGCCTAATCCAAAATAAGCCTTGTTAAAACTGCAGTAAGTGCTCACACCAGCCCTTCACACTTACTCGTGGCTTACATGAACTTAAAATTGTTCTCGGCTTTCTCAAGAGTATCATCTTCAAGATGACTACCTAGGAAGATAAATAGTAAATGCTTTGGTTTAGCCAACTGTACCACACTAAAGAAGGTATCAGCAATGTCAATCTGTTCTTGAATTAAATCGTTAATTCAACTAGAATTTCAAAATGTTGGGCCTTTTGAAAAATTCAGTATGCAGTAGTTAACAGTTTTTAAACAACTTATTGTTCAACTTCTACTTTTCAAGTATACCGTGTACTTTAAATAGAATTTATAAATTAAAAATGTAAATTGGACTGTATCTTTTAACTGTTGGTGATTTTTCTACTTTCCACTTTTTATTATGCATCATTTTTATAATAAAAAAGAGATTTTTTTTTCCCAATCCTGTTCTAGTTGATAGCAGTTCTCATGCTTCTCAAAGCTAATGTAATAAGACTACATAAAATGTTTAAGAAAAGCCCCATTAAAATATACAAAGCATACTAATTCATGAAGTCAAAGTCAAAGCAGAGTGGAAATATGAGCTTTAATAAAACTATGTCTGTTGTAAATAACTATTCAAGCACAGTCATTTTTTTGCAAATTGCATGGGATATAGCTCAGTCTACTTGAAGCAAAGAATCGCTCAGCGGGATAAATGCATCTTAGTCAGAAATAGATTAAAAGATACAGCTGAGCCATCAATAAGAACCAGATAGCGCAGTATTGTTTGCTGTTTGTTTTGAAGATGTAATTGCAGATCCCAGGATTTCAATAAATCTATGCACATCACAGAAAGAATTGTAGAGAGGAACTGGGGCAACGCGAAGAGCGTTTGGTTCTCGCATGTCACACTGCAAAATAGAAAGGGAACGCTTAGTAAATTCAGGTCACTTCATATTTATCTGTCAGACTGTATTTTTAAGGTCATCCTTGTCTTCAAGGAAAAATGACTGGACTGACAAGGAAACACAAGTAAAAATATCGGGAACCCCAAGAAACTATTGTGAGGAGCATTATTATGAAGAACATCACAAGAAGAGTGGTGAGTTGCCTGAAAAAGGACGCAAGGGTCAGGATGGGCAGGACTGTAGTAGTGTCACTAAGGGACTCTGAATCAGCTATGCAACACCATAATTTATCTTACTGATGGTAGCAACCCATAGCTGAAGAGGCACGCAGGTGACAAAAAAGCCACCAGGAAACAGAAACACACCAGGATGATAGAGCGTCTTGTACTGCAGGTACAAGTAATGTCACAGGCCTTGCAGTATTTTTCTTCCTCCCTCCCTGAATTTGAACGTTTTGCTGAATAGAATAATCTCTCATACTTGAAGCACATTACTGTATCGCGAAGACAAGCCAACAGCGTAAGGCCCCGTGCCCTCTTAAAAGCAGCAGTTCCTGGAATTCTCTGGCAGCACCAAAACAGCAGCATATTTAGCCTAGAAGAGTCGCCCTTTGGGGACACAAGTCGCCAGCAGAAATAAAACTCATGTATCATTTATATGGCGTTGCGCTATCAGCCTCACCACCTCCCAGCACTTCTAAATCACGAGATGTATAGTCTTAAATTTAGCTTTTATTCTTTTTGAGAAGTGCTCACCGGTAACTGCGCCATTACGTGACACTGCTGTTCAGTGTCCTCTTTCTGAGTGCTAAAACACGTTTCTAAGGAAATTACACCTTGTTGATTTCTCCACCTCGATGCCTCACGAAGAGCAAGAGTTTGCCCATTTGTAGATCGGGAAAGGGACTGGTGGAGGTTCAGAGCTTCTCGTCATCGTCGGGCTATAGGTGTGCAAGTTGGAGCACTGAGACTGGTGAGATCTGTCCAAGGGCTGCTGACTGCCAGCACCCCGGGGTGGCACAGACCTCCTCTTTGTGGTCTCTGGCCTCATGCCTGGACCCACGGCAGGGGACCTGGACAAGCACACTGAACAGGAGAAGCCTGTGCAGGCGGGACATCGCACTGGACAGCTCTGACACACTCTTATTTGTGTTTTTCCAGTGATTTTTTTTTTTCTTTTTCCTGACTTTCCTGTTCAGACTGATCAGCTTCAGATCTGTAACATCTCCCACCATAATGTACCCATAAACCAGCTCAGACCTCAGTAGTGACTCCTGGGTGCTACTCACAGAACCACTGGAAACTAATCAATAGAGAAAGGACAGTATACAGAGTAACAAATAATTTATAAAATAACTCTACTTATTTGATTATTTGCACAAATAAAGATTAAAGATGCTATGTAAGAAATTTTCATCACTCCCAGTCTTTTTTTGGCCTTATACAAGACTATATGTGATTAAAAGAAAAAATATTACTTTGGTATGGTGTAGGTTCACACAACAGTGCATAAGACGAAGTTTGCTTTACTCACAGCTACTCCTCTCTTCTCCAGCTCTTCAAACACAGATTTGATTGGAAGGGAAAAAGACAGCGTGAGTTGGCATCCTCTTTCCTCAATCTGAGATGGCGTGATTATTTTCACAAAGGGCTTCTCTGGGTTTGTTTTATCCTCATTATAGTAATGCTTTATCAGGTATTCCAAGTAACCGGTGAGTAGAACGGATTTCCTTCTCAGTGCTTTCATTGTAGTTTGACCAAAAACCTGCAATGATTTTAAATCATTAGAATGACAATGTGTTGCTATGGAAAATAAAAAGGAAGTAAAGACAACTAAAATGGTAGCAAATTTCTTATACGTATTTTCATTGGAATTAAGTGGTAATATCAGATAGATGTTACACATAAACATGGCAGGATTGGGCTTTTGACAACACAGGATAATGGTATTACTTTAGATAACAAAAGACATTTCTGTTTACTGTTGAAAAGTTTTAGACACATCCATATCTGCATAAATGAATTTGCAGACAAAAACAGTTTGCTAAGAGAGCAGCCATTTGCATATCTGAAGAGGATCCATAAATTCTCTATACATGCAACAGGGCTGCATGAAACTCAAAATCACAAACACGTTTTTCCTTGTATGTATCTCAAGTAACAAAATCCAAGGGTCAAGACTGAAATATCATGACTGATCTACAAATTATTGGTTTTGAAAACAAGATATTTATATTAACGTGTTGACTTTACTTCCTTCACAGTCCTGTGAAGGCTCTGTCTCTTGTAGGTGGAAAAAAGAAGACAAATATTCACTTGATTCTGGTTTAATAGCTATATGCACTTCTACAGGTACAAGGACTGGTGAGCTGCAGAAACTCAAAACATCATGAGATGTGGAAAAGTAATCGGTTAAATATGGCTGTACCACTTTTTTGCACAAACATGAACAAACAACATGGCAGCAGAGTTGGAACAGGAGAGTTGGGAATAGGAGAAGGTGAGACAGCTTCAGCTTCTGCTCTGGAAATGCTCTTTTACAGGCAATAATGGAAAATGTCACCCCAGAAACAATTCACCCCAAAACCTCTCTTTTCTTCTTCCAGTTGCAAGAAGCTTCAGGGAAAGATGACAAGATACAGACATGCAAGTACCCAATCGTGCTGTCTAATCAGATTCTGGCACATAAATGCCATACAGCTGCTCATGGACAATTGTGCCTCCACTGACTACAGCTGCAAAACCAGAGGCAAGGCAGAGGTCCTGTATGGAAATCCGTGATCTTCACTCTCAAGAAATTGCTGCCCCCATCTGAAGGAGTAACACTTTTAAGATTACTTATATCAACACCTGAAAGAGCGTATGAAGAGGTAACTGATGGAGAAATCCTGCTTAAAATACAAAGTCTGGTTTCCAGCAGTGTCTACAAATCACTCTTTTGTAGAACATCCCAAGTACGGCTCCATGATGCAATCACAACCACGAGATGCTGCACAAAACCAGAAGCCCCTACATGTTTTTTCTGTGAAACAAAATGAGACAGACTTTGCAGGGAGACAGCGCAGTCATGGAAACGAGTGTGACAGGGACCAGAGCCGTCAGCAATCCGTACTTGTACGGGTCAAACAAATCCAGAGGTGCTTCTCTCCCCACGCAGGCAGGCAGAGCACACACACACACATTACTGGAGGTAAAACGGAGACCTGCCTCCCATTCCTCTGGGTTTGCAGCAGTATGAGGGATGGATCTCCTCAGGCTTCATGCAAAAATCTGTTTGCCCAGGTTTTGTGCAAGGAATATTTGGCCTCCTGGGTGAAATTTGTTCAAAAAGACCTTTTAAATGTGGCTGTAGAGCGCTCCCCTTTTTTCCATAAAAGGGAGCAGCTACTGCCATAACAGCCACTTCAAGCATTATTGAGGAATAACATGCATTAACACTTGCAGTTTTCATTGTTTCCATTGGAAACACTGCCTTCTGCTTAATGTGTCCCAGTGAAGGTAGCATGCAATTTCACCAGCCATCTCTTGCCAGACATGAAAACTATTTTGTTTCCCACTGTATTAGAGCAATCAGCACTGGGAAATCCTGGCTGTGCCAAAAGGTAATGCAGGCACAGAAATGGGAGGCGATGGAAGCTGCTCAGCCCTCATTGTCTGAGGCTCCCTGCAGTGGGCAAATGACATCAGCCCACACAAACTGGAGCACTGACAATCTGGGTCATATCAGAATAGCTTTCAGCTTATCTCGAAGGTCACATAAAGTTTAAAAAAATATACTGGATGGTTAAGGACTAACAAAATAAATCGTCAGGCAGAGCAAGAAGCGTTGCTGTGCCCTTTGCAGTCCTTCAGCGTTGCATGTAAGCTGGAGAGAGCACAATTGGCCATTTTCTGACTTTGTCTGCTGAAGGTACTGTTTTTTCAGTAAGTAAGGAGGGACTTACAGTATATGGACATTGCTCTTTGTTCCAGCATTAGCTTTGCTGTTACACTGGCGTTAATGGAACTCTAACAGAAATAAATTTCTCCCGTTTATGCTGATGGCAAAGCCTTGCTAACCAAGGCTGGCTTGAAAAGCAGCTTAGGAGAAATTTTAATATAGTAGTATATGTAGCATATAGCAGTATATGTAGCATATAGCAGGAAAATCAATGTGAAATGTTCCTTTTCAGCTGCAAAGACCTAGAATCTTGCATTTCAGGAGTGAACCCTCCATAAGAGAAATGCAGCAGTGTCTTGTGAAGCACAGCGTGATACAAGGCGTTTGGAGAAGAGCTGCATGCCTTCAGAGAGGGCTGAATTGTGCTCTCCAAGGTGGACCAGAAAGCTTTCAGCACATGGGACACCCCTTCCTAGCCAGGAAGGGATGAGCTGTGTACGGCAGGACTGCCCTTTCCACAGCTGTGATCTCAGTGATTCATATAGAGATGGGGCTCTGCTTCTTTGGCCATCAAAAAACTAATGAAAAGACGAAACAAAACCCAGTCTGGAACTACACCACACTCATGAATTCCCCTTTTAGGAAGCATTCACAGACAGATTCTGTCTCTTCTGTTTGTAATAAAAAAGACAACTGCAGAGGACAGGTTCCCAAAGCCACTGGTTCAAACTGGACTCCAGAGCACCCAGTGGCCACATCCATTCTCTTTCATAAAGGAGATAAGTCTGTTTTGGCCAGGGAAATGTATGTAGAAGCAACTCTGGATGCAACTCTTAAGCTACACGATTCCTTTCTAGGAAGATGTCTAAGGGCATCCTTTGCGTGAGGCGCACTGGGGCGCACTCTGAGTGTCTCTGTGGGAAAAACCCCGAAAAGACAGGAGAAACACAGTGCTAGCAGTCAGCCTTGGAGGTGCAAACCTCATGTATACTGGATCCAACAGCAAAACTTGTGAGAACAGAGAAGGGACGAGTACATTTATTAAAGGCCGTGGTGTCTCAGGGTTGTGGGGTTATTTTGTTTGGTTTTCGTCTCCAGCCCATTCCCTTTTTAGTTATTCTGCAGGGTTTTTTTAAGGGAGACAGCAATAGTACACATAACATTCATTTAACATTTTTATACTCTTAAATTCAGGCTCAAAGTAAAGCAATTACTTACCTCTAAACTAGCTTGCAGAGCACAGATCAGTAAAATTGGAGGATTTGATAACCGAAATCCATTAATTCCTTCACTTAGTTGTAATTCTGGAAAATGAGTAACTTATATTAGTGGTTTTGATTTCTTCCTTTTAACAGATTGGACCTTATCTTGAAGTCCATCCTCACGCAATAAAATATTTCCCTAACGTGGCCTGTAGGAATCAGTCATTAAAAGGAAATAGTAATCTATTCACAGCTAATACTTTTAACTTCGAGAGAAGCCCAATTTTACCCAGCAGAAGACTTCATTAGCAGCTTGATGGGAACTAGAGAACTGCAATTAATTTGTTTAAATGGTGTGCGTTAAAGCCACCTTTACACTTCAATCTCTTTTAACACTGGCACAAACTAAAGAAATTCCAAGTCAGCAGACACACACTCGTGCGGAGCCGCAGTGCTGCCACGAGCAGGGAATCATGTTCCTTAACTTTATTAAAGTGACGAGACACATGGGAGAGTGCATATGCAGCTAAGTGTAGCTTCAGGCCATGTAGAGAGGTTGCACAGACTTTAGGCTGTGAAATTTCACCAAAATCTATTTAATAAATCTATAAAACCTCGCTGTACGTTCTGTGTCACCGTTTATATTTCATGGTCCAGCACCAGAGCAAGAGGATGCTGTGGAGGAAACGCTTTCCATGCACAACAGACTGGCTAATTTTATAGCAATAGTTGCCCAACTTCTCCCCTATAAACTGCCCATGAAAATGAATAAACAACTTTTTTCTTCTTCTAATGGTATTTCAAGGCAATTTGTGTCTCCTGCTGGCTTTCCACAGCGCCACTCTCTTAAATTCTGTGGGAAGATAAAAAGCAAAAACTGAGTCTGTTAGAGAGGTTTCTCCAGTCAAAGTCACATCAATAGCGGCTGCCACAGAAAATCAAAAATATGTTAAAAACAACACAACCAATCAAACCAAAAAGCTTCTTTCTTCTCCTGATCCCTCAGGATACTCTCTCTGCCATAATTTCAAATGGAGCTGAAGAGTCTGACTGTCAGATTTGGAAGGAGTCCTCATTTTGTATTGGGACAATAAATATTTAGCTATTTCAGAGCAGGTTTGGTTTTGTCTTATATCCATCCTTCACTAGCACAAAGGATTTGGAGATACTGAAATGTCAGTGGTATTTCATGACTTCTGTCAGGTTGCTGTACCTTTATTTATATAATTTCTCATTAATTTCAACGGGACTAATCCTGAAGTAAGATTCACCCAAGTGAATGATAGCAAATCCTCTCTCCTCAGAGACTTATGAGTTTAATTCACTGAGATACTTTGAAAGTTTCATCCATATTCTACATCTGCATTTTGAAGGTATTTCAGCAAAATGTCTAGAAGCAGACAGTCAGACTCATATGCCCAGAGACCAAATTTATTCCCATATTTATTTTATTAGCTCCACTGCATTACATATTTGGGATGAGTTTAGCTTAATAACTTTACCATTAGTGAGGAAATGCAAAGTTCTACCCTTTCTACTCAAGCTACGGTAACAGTGAAGCTGGTTATATATAAATATATCAAATTAAGAAAAATTGAAAATTTAAAAGTACATACTGTTTTCCATGAAGAATCGTGTTTTGAATTCATGACTCCACCAGCCGATTAGCCTAAGATTTTGTAAAGAAAGTAAATTAATAGCAACCTTGGTATAATATCTTTTAATTTGTATTTGAGAGTAAAGAAATACGTAAGTAAAATCAAGAAGTATATACATTTCTAATAATGCATTAGATTTCTAACAATGGCATAAAAATACAATAAATCCTATAAATAGCTAGCACTAAAAACTTGATATTACTATTAGGGAAATTAACTACTAACGATAAAATGTACTGCATCTTTCAATTAACTATTGATTTCTAACAATAGCCATTTTTCTGAATTCATTTCACAAACCAAAAAATAGAACAGAAATATTTCCACTGTTTTGTTCCAAGACATTAAATTCAATGCTCCTCTTAAACTTAGTTTAATGAATATTGAAAGCTAAAAGGTATTGTAAAATCTGACTTAGTTTCACCAAGAGAAGGAGTTGGTGATGGACAGCAGACAGACAACAGAACCTCAGAAGGATAACGCAGGCATTGCCTTTTCCTCACTAAGGCATCAATGTGAATTCTAAGTAAACTTTTCTTTTCCTGAACTGAACTTATTATTCAAAAAAACTTTCTTTAATATAGAAAAAAAACCAGTTTAATCCAATAATCAGTTTTTTTAAGATCATCTCCAGAAAAAAAAATAAAATAAAAAATTCAATTACTTCAAAAGTCATTTATCTAAGCTTTTACATTAAGATGACATTACATTATTAACTCATATTTGCTGAAAAATATGCTCAAAGACATAGTTATAGACACTTTTCCAAAGCAGCTGGATGCGCTGGATCATCTAGTGCCCAAGGCATTACTGCTAAAGCCAATATTGTAAAACCAAAGAGTCTCTCCCCACCTCCTTTGGGTTCTGAACTTCTTAAATCAGCACATAGTAATATTGGTGAGTAAATGACATCAGTACTACCAGAAATGTCCCATGTATCAACACTATTACAATGTTAGAAAGTCACCACCACAGACTCTTTCCTGACCTTCTACGGTCTCTAGGACTGGACATACTGGATGCCATTTCTTCCAAGGCTTTGTTCTTCTCTCTGCCAGGTAGCAGAGTTGTTAGGAGTGAAGCCTGGTAAGTATTCAAAATTTGTAATAGTAAAAAAAAAAATCTATAAGTAAAACTCATAGCAGATCAGCCTTCCTGAAAGTAAACAAGGAGAAAGAAAGGCATTGCCCCTCTCTGAAGCAGGAGCACTTATAGAATCATAGAATGATTTGGGTTGGAAGGGACCTCAAAGATCATCTAGTTCCAAGCCCCCATGCCATGGGCAGGGAAAACTTCTTTGCAGTATGCTCCAAAGAGCTTAGCTCTGCAGAATTAGGACCACATTTGAGTTAAAGACTTATTATATGGATACTGCATAGTGTAAAATAAAGTGCTTCGTATTTTTGTGTAACAACATAGGTTTTATGTTTACATCCATGAAAAGCTCTGAGCTGCATCCAAACATAGTGTATACAGAAAAAGTATGCTTTTTTCTTTATTGCTGCGTGATGTTTTTATTATTCTAAGACCCATGAAAATCAATAGCGCAATATACATTCGTTTCAAATGAGATATTACGTTGCCAAGATGAAAATACCCCAAATAAAGCAGAACGCAGCTTCTGCCCAACTGACTCAGTTACTGGTGCTCTGAATCATAAAAAGATATCCCAGCTATTTAATATGAACTCTATAATATAGAGAGAACATTTTACTATAAACCCTGAATACTGTAATGTCAATGGCACACATATTCCATGAATTCCAAAGGTTATAAACAGAAAAAAAAAAAAAAAATCCATGGGAAATTTAACATTTGGACTCTGCAGCAAGGAGAAAACAACACTATGTGCTATTTAGACCACATCCTAAAGTTAAAGACAACATAAACATCAACCAGCATACTGTTCAGATAGATCCTGATGAAAAGCACTCTGGTTGCATTTTGAAAGCTCAAAACTTGCTAACTCTGAAGCTGGCTTAAAACCAGACCTCTGCTGCAGTGCCACGTTTGCAACTTGGAAACCGAAACTTCAGAACTTTTCCAAAATGACAGAATGAAGGATTTTTTTAAAGACAGTTTTAGCTGTCTTGCCCTTTCCTACCATAACTTTGACAATTTGCTTTTTCTTTTCTTTTTTTTTTTCTTTTTGGCTGTTCTAGAACTTCAGAGGTGTCACTACAGGATGTGCACTTTGAGGCAGCTCTGGTCCTACGCTCTCATTGATCTAATGGTCCATATGGATGTCATATTATTTGACATTTAAGTTGACAGGCTTCAAAGTGTGGAAATTAACAAAATCTTTACGAAATAGCAATTTGCTGTTTATAATTTTCTGTGAAAATTTTGAAATGAGGGTTGCCACTGCTATGCCAAATTTCAACCTGTTATGATGGGAAATAGCTAAGGTGTTAAACCCCAAACATAAGGCTTTATAAATGCTCGCTAAAAATAATAGGCAATAAAACTGCACATTAAGATACTGCAGTAAAAATTCTTATTAAAGAGTTGTTACTCTGCATGCAAAATGAGTATTTGGAAATGCAGCCACCATTTTGACTATTCCTGCTTCAAAAACAAAGGCATCAAAATCTAAATTGTTTGTGAATTTCAAACCATAATCTTTATAAAACTCATAATGTAGAAGCCTCTAAAAAGCCTTATATGATGTGCTCGTGTTTAAAACCACCTTGAACTTGTTAGTAACTGGACTTTAGAGTCACATCGCTTTCAGTGCAGACAAAAGCCATTTTGTGAAGTGTGTTAAAAATCACTGTGTCCAATTTTGCAAACATTCCACAATAAAACTTTGAGAATAATGTTTTACTGGTCACTGCCCTTTACATGCAAATGTATCCAAACTGCGCATTTGTCTTGTTTTAACACAGCGCTAATCGAAATGGTTATCCCAGCGGCGTGTGCCCGCATGGCATCCCGCTGCCATTCCCGCCCGGATGTCTGCAGCCTCCCAGAGATGCTCAGCAGACGTGCCCCTGGAACACCTCTTCAGCTAACATCTCTCTATCCAGCAGCAAAGGGGAACAGGAAACCCATCGTAATCGTGCCAAAAGGAGAGTAAATTAGTGCCGAGTCAATCGTGGGTTTTTCCGAGAGGTGTGCATGTTCTTACAAACCCACTTCTATAAGAAAATAACTTTTTTAAGAGGTAACGTATCGTTCTATTTTGTGCCTCGAATAAAACCCACGTCCTCATGGTTTGATAACACTGAGAACTTCCCAGGGAATTCTACAGCTTTCCCGTTTACCCAAAGAAGCAGGTTTTAAATGCACCACATAAAATTTAAAGCAAACTGTTACTAGCTCAATTTCATGAAACAAGGAGGCATATAACGAAATATTGCTGAAAGGTTTTCAAATTCCTTATTTTTACCCCAAAATGTTCTCTTATTTTACCAATCAATGAATAAAAGATTTACTGAGTTGGAAAATTACTCCAGAAAGATATAGTATCCTCTCATTTAGTCATATTCTCTTTAAGTGCATTTACACCAGGGAACAATCCCTTCAATAAGTATTTTTATTTAGCTCATTTTCCTCCTTCACATCTGCCTGTGTTAGACTGAAGCATTGGTTGTTCATAACTTGAGTCATCTCGTTTGTAGTTTCATTAATGATGCAAGAGTGAGGGATATAATGATCATGATGTATGTGCAGTGTAAACATCAAAGAAGAGCCAGTTAAAGAACACAGAAAAAAATACAGAAAAAATTCCTTTGACCTTTGCTTCAACGTTACAGATGATCATGCTACTCATTTAAAATTTACAGCCTGAAGCAACATGGGTCTCATTTCCCTTCTCTACAATGAAAAAAAAAAAAAAAAAAAGAAACTCTTGAGTAGTGACAAAGAAAACAGGGAAATACTATTAATATGGTCCAACTTTTACAATCCAGGGCAATGTGCTGGAAGTATCTTGTCATTATACTGTGTGAGAAATCATTTTGTGTCTGCAAGAAAGCATGTTGAAAAGCTACAACAGGAATGCAGTGTGAAATTAGTGGTACTTTATATTACATTTGCCCACTTCACTGGGCATGGAACAGTTTGTCTTCTCTCTGTTACCAGGTCACAACGCTATCTAGAAATTTCATATTCATTACTTAGATTATATCTATAATAGGAGCATATATCAGCAAAGCATGCTATATTTGTGAAACCATGGATTAAGCTAAATCGTAAACAGGCAGTTTTGGGGCAGACTGTGTCTGCAAAGCAGCTGATGTAGCTGCTGGGTGGTAGCTAAGCTCTTCATTTACACATTGCTTTATTTTTGCAAAAAATTCCAGATGTTGGCAGAGATTTGTTTGAGTTTTCATGCTATTGTTCTAGCAACGAGTAAGAATCAGCTTTGAGGAGTTAATGAGATGTCTCACCGCTCCCAAAGTATATTACACAAAACTGAGGCAGATATTATGTTGTGTCTGCAAAGGCAATTTCACACAGAAAAGGGAATGAAAGGGCCAACAATAATCATTAAGTTCAGTTTCTTGCAGTCCTATGTATCCACAACACAACTGGCTCATTGAAGAGCCCATCCGTAACACATCCATTCCCTGTCCTTATGTCTCACAACACCTTTAAGACCTATAAAAGGCAACCAAGAGGCACAGCACAGTGTGACACAAGTTTACAGAATAGAGGGTAACTGTGTCTCAAATATCACTTTATTAGCACAAAATATGTTAAATAAACAACCCATGAAGTCTTAGGAATTAGGCTACAAAGGAATATAGAAAGCCTGGAGGCTGGAATCAGGCTGAAGCTAGGGACAAACTACATCTGACCTCAGTTACAGTGACTTGACCATACTTGATCATCATCCTACTGCCTATGAGAACGTGGTGGTACCACACCACTGATGCCACATCCAGAGTCCAGCTCTGCCCAGCCTTCATGTTTCAAAAGGCAGGTTAAAAAAAAAAATTAATGGTACAACCAGCTCCTAAAGACCTTAACATGCCTTAGATCCATCTATGAATCTCCAGCTCAA